TGGAACTCTGTAGACCAGGGTGGCCTATAACTCAGAGATCTGCCTGCCTTTATGTTCCAAGTGCTGGGATTAGAGCTGTGTGCCCACACTGCCAGGCAAGTGTTGAGGATCTTTAAGGCCTGGCAGGTTGCAGGCTTAGGAAGGCAGTCTGGAAGTGGATAGTGAATTGCACTGAGAAGTTCTTCTCCAGATAGGAAGCTGGTCTCTAGAAAAATCCAGGGTCAAGAGGCCTCCTTCCTGCAACATGAGCTCCAAAGGGCTGTAATCTCAGCACTCAGGAAGCTGAGGCAGGAGATTTGCAAATTAAAACTAGCCTGAGCTACAAAGTGAGATTCTGTCTTAAAGTCGAAACCAAACAATCCAAACAAACAGGGCTGGGCGTGGTGGCACATGCCTTTAATCCCAGAACTCAGGAAGCAGAGGCAGGCGGATCCCTGTGAGTTTGAGACTAAGTTTTGGCTGCCCATTGGACCCTCCGGGTTAGTGGGACTAGCCAGTCTGGAGGTTTTTAACTGGAAAGGAATGGACAGAATTGCCTTTTGTAAAAGAGATCACCCTCTGGTGGCCACTCCAAGGATGGCAGGGAGAGAAAAGGTCCCTGAGAAGAGCCAAGAAGCTGAGCTTGTGGAGCCTCTTTAAGTTCAAGTACATTTATGTTTGTCTTCCAGACTGTAAGCAAAAAGCACACAGCGACAGGTATCCTGTTCACTATGTGTTGAAGGGGAGACCCAAAACAGCCTTGAACTCTGGGATGTAGAGCTCTGGAAACAAGAAGGGAAAAGAAGGGGAGGGGAGGAGAGAGGATCGGAGGGGATGAGAGAGAAAGGGAGGGGAGAGGAGGGGGAGAGAAGAGGAGAGAAGAGGGGAAAGGAGAAGAGAAGAAGGGAGAGGAAGAGAGGGAAGAAGAGGGGAGAGGGAGGGAGGGGAGAAGAGGGAGGGGGAATAAGGGAGAGGAGGGGAAAGAGGAGGAAAGGGGAGGGAGGGGAGTGAAGAAGAGGGAGGGAGGTGGACAGAACAGTCTAAGTCATACTTGTATTCTAGGTACTCAAGAGGCTGAGGCAGGAATGCTTGTGAATTCAAGGACCACTTGCACTACGTATTGAGATCTCACCAAAAAGAAGAAGAAAATGATCAGAATAGCATGGAGTGGTATAGACCTGGCACTTGCCCTTTTCCAGAGAGAGACCTTCTTATAAACTAGTCATGGTGGCAGTGTCTATAATCCCAACACTTGGAAGGTGGAGATAGGAGTTCAAGGGCAGCCTTGGTACATGGCAAGTTCAAGGTCAGCCTGGGCTATGAGAGACTCCATCTCAAATAAAAGAGGAGAGAAGAGGAAGTGGATACAGGAGGGGAGTCACGGATGGGGGACATAGGCATATTTCAAGTGTGTAACAAGGTAGTGAGGCAGGCCCTGGAGAACTGCAGCTCGTAGGGGGCAACCTCCTGCTCCAAAGGTTGAGCTGGAGCCCACCAGGGTTTGAATGTCCTGATCAAACATACACACTGTAATCGCCATCCGCACCCATAACCTCAGCCCTAGGGCTAGCAGAGACAAAAGGATGGCTGGGGCTGCTGGCCAGCCGGCTCAGCTGCAAAACGGGCAGCTCCAGATTCAGAGCAATAGAGGATGTTAGGTGTCCTCTAGCCGTGCCTCGTGTGTGTGTGTGTGTGTGTGTGTGTGTGTGTGTGTGCTTGTGAGCGCCTGCGCGCGTGCTCGCACGTACAGGGCTGGAGAGATGGTTCAGTTGGTAGAGGGTTTGTCTAACATGCACAAAATAGCCCTGGATTCCGTTCCCCAGGACAGGATAAAATCAGATGCAAGAAGTAAAGACAGGAAGATCAGACATTCAAAGGCATCCTGTCTTCACACAATGAATTCAAAGGTAGCCTAGGCTACATGAGACCCTGTCTTTATAAAACACACACACACACACACCAAAAACTTACTATCTGAAAAAGCCCAACATAAGTTATGGAATTGCCCAAATTCTCATCTGGGAACAAGAGAAAATTCCCCTGAATACATTTTATAGGACAGCAAACATTAGATGACAAATACAGTTGCATTCTGATCACATTCAACTTGTTGTTGTTGTTATTATTATTATTATTATTATTCAAGACAGGGTTTCACTGTGTAGCTCAGGCTGGCCTCCTACTCAGAGATATCTCTGTCTCAGCATCCCCAGAGATCACAGGCATGAATCATCATGCCCAGCTGACAAATGATCGTTTTTAGTCTTAGATACAAGCACAAAGCCAGGGAACAAACAGATGGAGAGACAGACCACAACAGGAAGGAGATGCAGGAGGGGAGACCCGACATGCAGGTCCAGGGGGAAAGCGGCCCTGGGGGGTCTGCCCCGCAGGGTCAGGGCAGCAAAGATGAAATATAGACTTAGTAATTATTAACTCAGGAATATCAGAATAACTCCTAACGAGGAGTTAGGGAATGGCCCACCATTGAGAAGTTTAAGGTTTTCAAAATATAATGCTGTGTACGTATGTCTTTCACCCACGAATCAAAAACATCTGGGTGGGTGTAGGGGAGGCATGCATACCCACGGGGGAGTTCAGAGAGGATTCATAAAAGACACTACAGCTGTGGCCACACAAGGACCCTCAAGACATCAAGTCTTACTTCTCGTCTTATCCATGCTATGCCTGTCATCATGGCCGTGAACTCCCACCAACTCTCATTTTAGCTCCACCCCTAGTTTAAGCCCTTATATCTTCTTTTAATGCAATATTATTTTTATTGATTTTGGGGGGAATCTCACACATGCACACAAAGTAATTCAATTATATTGACCTCTCATCTGGCCTCCATCTATCATTTACCTCTCATTCTCTGAACTTCCTGTTCTCTCTCTCTCTCTCTCTCTCTCTCTCTCTCTCTCTCTCTTTCTCTCTCTCTCTCCACCCCCCCCTCTTTGTGGCTGTGGACCCTTCCACTGGAGAAGGTTTACCTACTAGGGTCAATATCCTTAACGAAACCGCCTCTCCCTTCAACTATCACCAGCTCCTCAGCGAGGGGTGGGGTCTCTGGCTCCCTCCTCCTTCCATGCTGGCTTGATCTCCCCAGCAACCACAGCTGGTGTGAGTTCCTGAGTGCAGCATCCTGTCATGTCCTGAGGACACCGCTGTTCTCCAGTCTGCCTGGACCTCCAAGTCTTAGGATCTTTCTGTGTGCCCCTACCCCGCCACACACCCCCATCCCCACTTCCTAGAATGTACCTGTACCTAGACTGAGTGGCTTGTTCTCTACACTTTGATTAGTTAAGTTTCTGTGGTAGCCATTGTCCACGACACAAAGGAGCTTTTCTGATAAAGTCTGGCTGGGAGCCACACTAATCTATGTGTTTGGAGATAGAAATAGAGAGGGCAGTTTGATAGTGTGTCCCTTTGGTAATGTGACAGTAGCAGGTTTACCCTTGGGGTCTACAAGCTCCCCCCAAACTATTGGTTCTTGGCCAAATTTCCTAGTACTGGGGCATGTGTTGTCTCCTGTTTTGGTAAGGACAAAGACTGAAAATCTTTGTGCACGAGTGATGTGCAGGAGTATTTGTGTGAATGTGGCTGCATGCAGACATAGGTACTGACTGCCCCGCCCCCACGTGTGAGAGGGATCTCTTGTTCACCATTTCATATATGGGGGTAGGTGGCCTGTGAACTTCTGTGGAGTCTCCTGTTTCCACCTGCCATCTTGCTGTTGGATCCATGATCTTCCTGCCTCAGCCTTCCAAGTGCAGGAAACATAGGCATGCGTATCAGTGAGGCTAGAGCCTGAGTTCAGCTTTTGCTCATGGTGTTCCAGTATCCACCCTCCCTTCTCAGTCTTCTTAAATCCTGTTTACCCTTCAAAGCTACCCTTCCACAGGGGCCCCTCCTCAACTCTGTTCTGGAGCCCACCAGTTCTTATTTGTTGGTTTGCTTTGGTTTTTTGAGACAGGATTTCACTGTGTAGCCCTGGCTATCCTGGAACTCATTCTGAGGACCAAGCTGGGCTTGAACTCACAGAGGTCTGCCTGCCTCTGCCTCCCAAGTGCTGGGATTAAAAGGCTTCAGGAGCCTGCCAGTTTTTAGCTCAGCCTCTGATCTTGTTTGAGAGAGAGAAGGATACCAGCAAGGATTACAGCACTCAGGGAGCCAGGAGGCAGGTGGAACTCTGTGAGTTTGAGGTCAGCTTGTCTACATAGTGGGCTCCAGGCCAGCTAGAGTTATGCAATGAGACCCTGTCTCAAAGAGAGGGCTGGGCGAGGATCTTAATGCTTGCTATGGGAGGATGAGGCTTTTTTTTTTTTCCAATTGTGTAGCCGCTGGTGAGGTGCCTAGAATTATTCAGTAAACAATTCTAATGAAACTCACTAGGTCCCCAAAACAAGGAAAACAAACAAATAAAAAGACATGAAAATAGAAGACAGACAGGTTGGAAAGAGGAAGGGAGAGGGGAAAAGAGAAGGCCCTGGGTGTATGGTCAAAATGCATTGTATACGTATATAAAAGTGTCATGGTAAAACCCAGTAATCTTTCAGATTTATTTATTTTATGTGAGTGAGTGTCTTGCCTGTATGAATGTGTGTGCACCTTGTGCAGGCCTGGTGCCTGTGGATGTCAGAAGAGGGCAATGGATCTCAAGGAACTAGAGTTAAGGTGGTTGTGAGCCTCCATCCAACCCCGGTCCCCGGGAAGAGCAGCAAGTGCTCCTCACTGAGCCGTTTCTGCAGCCCTATGAAATCCACTATTGTGTATAATTAACATATGTTAATAAAAACTTAAGTGAATACAGTAGTGACTTATCCAAGGTCAAGAAACAGCCAAGACTCACTGGGAAGAGATTCAAGGTCAGGAGAGAGACCCAGACGAAGGTGGCCATTCTGTAGCACCTTGGCATAGGGATGGTAGTCTGGAGATGTTTGCCTGCAGAATTAGCATTTATGAAAGACTGAATCATGACATAGTGGACATCCCCAGGCCCAGGTCTCAGGGTCTTAGGTCTAGAGGAAGATGAGGAGGGCAGAAGTAGACACTCTGGTCTCCTTGTGGGCTTTGAACAGTTGCTCCAGAAACTTGACGTAGAGTTGGTGATAAAGACCCACTTGGGCTTCTGTGAGTTTGAGGCATGGGGGCACACAGATGGGGTGGCTACTGCAGGGTGGGAGGATGTAGGTACATAAGAGAGTTCTCTTGTTGCAAATGAAACTGATGGTGGCTCTCTTCTCCAGAGACACCTATTCACTTACAATAGTGATGGGCAGGGCAAATGGTACCAGACACCAGGAACTGGCTGAGAAGAGACTGTGGGTCCCAGAAGATACAAGGGGAAAATCACGTGAGTCTCTTGCAGGCAACTTGGCATTGATGCTGCCAGGAGTTTTAGGCAAAAGACTTGAATCTGTAAATATTATTCTCCCCAGTGGAGTACACAGGCAAGAGGGAGGCCCTGGGAAGGGTGTTGAGGGGTAAGAGAGGCTTGCTGTAGTTGGTATGTGTGTCTCCTCCTGCCTTAGCCTCCTAGGATGCTGGGATCCAGGACTGTCTCACCACACCTGGCTTTGCTTTGAGATAGGGATGAAGGTCTGGTGATACTGCCCAGATAATGAAGTGCTTATATGAAATTCTGAAGACTTGATTTTTGATTCCTAGAATCTATGTTTAAACATGCTGGGGGCAGGGGATGGAGAGACCTAGATCCAACTCTCAACTCCCACATGGCATCTTTCAACTGTCTTTAAGTTCCAGCATCCAATGGCTTTTTCTGGCCTCTTTGGATACTGCACACACATGATACATGGACATGCATGTTCCAGGATATTTGAACACATTGTGACCCTGGAGATTGCGTTGTTTACTGAAAAAGGCCTGTTTCTAGTTCTGGTGTGGTTCACCCTTAGCACATAACTTTAATCCCTCTGGCTGGAATACAGACTTAGGCTTAGTACACACTTTTAATCCTAAACAATGAAAGTAAAGTTTGTGCAAGGAAGCACCCATGTTTGAAAGTGATGTCTAATTGAGTGGCAGACAAAGTGATGAATCAGAGAAAGATTTGACAGACTAGGATATGCTCAATTCTCATGAGAAGACAGAAGAAAAGGAAGCTATTTAAGAGGGCAGCACAGAGAGAAAGAAAAGGAGAGGAGACAGTTTTACCAGGACAGTTGTACAGAGACTGGTTGCAGAGAGAGAACAAACTAGACACAAGTAAAGACAGAACTAGACAGAGAATGAGAAGCAGCCAGAAGACTAGACCAGATTGCCAGAGTTAGTTTGAGGCCAAGCTAAACGTCAGAGGCCAAGAGAGAGGCCAGATTCAATCAGTGTAAAGAGGAGAGTTGAGCCAGGACAGCTGAGTTGACCAGCCAGGCAGAACTAGAAAGGGGTGAGCTATTTCAACAGTAAGTCTCAGGGGCTGAAAACATTCTGGACCTAGATAAGGTTGAACAGAGGCTAGAAGTTTCCAGGACTAGGCCTAGGTTAGCAAATGGAGGCAGTAAGCCTGGAAGATAATAGAAGAATAAAAGATAGCCGGGTGGTGGTGTTGCACGCCTTTAATCCCAGCACTTGGGAGGCAGAGGCAGGTGGATTTCTGAGTTCGAGGCCAGCCTGGTCTACAGAGTGAGTTCCAGGACAGCCAGGGCTACACAGAGAAACCTCGTCTCGGAAAAACCAAAAAAAAAAAAAAAAAAAGTTAAAAAAAGAAGAAGAATAAAAGATACATTTGTACATGCATGCAGGGAAAACACACATGAACATAAAAATAAAAAGAAATTTTTAAAAAATCTAGGTGTGGGGCTGGAGAGATGGCTTGGAAGTTAAGAGTACTTGCTGCTTTTACAGAGGACCAGAAACACCTATGTTGAATGGCTCACAGATACCTGTAACTTTAGACAGGGGATCTGATGCCTTCTCATGGCCTCTAACACACACACACACACACACACACACACACACACACACACATGAGGGTGTTCTGAGTCCCAGTGAAAGGAGGTCTAGCCGTTTATACTGAGACCCTATCTCACTTCTCACTCAAGCTGGGAATATTACTGGGCACAGAGAAGGAAACTCAAGAGTCACAAGAACCTGTAAGTAGAGGGTATGGGCTTGGATGTCAAGGAATAAGAAAAACACAGAGTATCACACAGAACTAATGGAGCCCTTTAGAGGCTAGCTGAATTACTGAACTGCATCCCTCTAGACACTAGGGGTTTGTGGGCTGGGGCTATAATTCATGTGTGTGTGTGTGTGTGTGTGTGTGTGTGTGTGTGTATGCTCTGTTGTATAACATATATATGATATATATGTAAATATACATCTAAATGATACACACACACACACACACACATATATGAGAGATATCTATATCTTTCAGGTAGAATACTCAACTAGCATGCATAAAGCCCTGGGTTTTATCCCTAACACTGTATACTTGATGGTGCATACTTGTACTCAAGAGGTAGAGGCAGGAGAATCAGTAGCTCTGAGACATTCTTAGCTACATAGTGAGTTTGAGGCTAGCCTGGGCTACAGGAGACTCTGTTACAAAGCAAAACACCTAATCTGAAAAGAATCTTCAGCCCGGCTCACTCATGCCTTAGCGCTAGGAGCACAAAGCCCTTTGTGCGATCCAGTGCTCCCTTAGAACTGCATACAGGGTTTCCTGCCCACCCCTAATCAGGATGGTCACAGCCTGGCCAAGCTGGGGCTGGGACACAATGAACTCCAGACTCTGGTGATTCACAAGACACAGCCTTGGGGATAAAAGAAGGGTGCTGTCACCACTCTTTCCTCAGCCCTTCCACCCCCACTCTTTAGTACAGAAAGAGCAAGCCTCATGTCCTGATCTAAGTCCTTCATTCTCTGCTTCTTATAAAGCACACCTGGTGTTCCCTTCTGACTGGAACCGATGCTCATGCCAACTTTCTTGCCTAGGTAGGGAGTCTTCTGTGGAAGGATCTTGTTAATTATGGGGGTGGGGGGAGTGCCCTATGATTCGTGGGTACTCCCAATTTCCATCTCTGTGTTTACTCTGATTAAAAGCAACTTAGGGAAGGGAAGGATTTGTTTCAGCTTGTAGGCTGCAGCCTATCACTGTAGGAAATCAGTGCAGGAACTAAAGCAGGAATTTACAGCAGAAACCGCAGAGGAATGTTCCTTACTTGTAGACTCATGCTTAGTTAGCTTTCTTATACAGGCCTAGGGAATGTAGCTGCCCACAGTGGGCTGGGCCTCCCTACATAAATTAACAATCAAGACAGTCTTCCACAGAACCACGGGCCAATCTGATCTGGGAAATCTCTCAATTGAGAGTCCCTTCTCAAATGGCTTTAGGCTGTGCCTCGTTGACACAAGACTCACCACTGAACATGAGATATTCTCTATAGATAGGAAGATAGACAAGTCCAGCCAACATGGCTACCCAAGGCCTAAGCCCGGGAAAGAGCTGGGAGAAGGCCTGCTATCAGTGGAAAATTACAAAAGATTCCTGTGCTCATGACCTCATGAGGGTGGGCCCCAAGCATGTAGCTCCCCTCAGCAAGCAGCTCTTTGGTTTTCAGTAGCTTTGAGGTATTTGGAAGACATCAGAAGGAACAGGCACAGAATGCAAGATGAAGGCCAGGTGAGATGGTTCGGCTTGTAGAGGAGGTTGTTACCAAGCTTGACAACCCAAGTTCAACCCCTGGGACTCAAGTGACAGAAGGAGAAAAACCGACTCTGACCGCTACATGCATGTAAACTTTAAAAAATTTTAATTTAAAAGTAAATTAAAAAATAAGAATATAAGATAACTGCTGGAAAGGTGTGTCCTTTACCTCACCAAAGTTCAAAGTTCAAGGTCTTAAGACGGGACTCGGGGTTCAGGAGTTCACTCTTGCATATCACCCCATCTCTGAGCTCAGGGATCCAATACAGGCTCCAGAATGGAGGAAGGTGAGTGGGTGGCAGAGAAGAAGGAGACTCTTTCAAGAGTTTAAACTGCGGGCGGTGGTGGCGCACGCCTTTAATCCCAGCACTTGGGAGGCAGAGGCAGGCAGATTTCTCAGTTCGAGGCCAGCCTGGTCTACAGAGTGAGTTCCAGGACAGCCAGGGCTACACAGAGAAACCCTGTCTCGAAAAACCAAAAAAAAAAAGACTTTAAACTGGTTACCTTGACAGGGAAGTAATCTGGTGTTTCCAAATTCTCTACATTCTCATCCATCCTCAGTGCCTTCCGCCTGCACACAGAGAGATGGGGCAGGGATGAAAGTGTTCCCAGGGAAAACCATGTCTTCTGGACTCAGGCAGATGGCTCAGCGGTCAAGCATTTGCCAGGCAATTGTAGGAGCGGAGTTCAGATCCCCAAAACTCATGTAACTGCCAGGTGGGCATGGAAGCCTCCTGAAATTCCAAGCTCATAAGATGGAGAGAGAATCCCCAGAGCAAACTGGCTGGCAGGAAGAGCCATATCAGTGTGCTCTGGGTTTGGTTGAGAGAGCCTGTTTCAGTGAGTAAGATGGAAGAGTGCAGGGATCAACCTCAGGTCTCCACAAGCAACATGTGTGCACATGCGCACACACGTGAGCCCACACACCTGTACCCACACACATTTCGAAACAAAAAGCTGCATTGCATGTGTGTGCACAAACACAGACTATGAAGAATCATCTCTAGTGAAGGGTGAAGAAAGGGCATGGCTGAAAGTGAAAAACACATGGTTTTTGTCATGCAGTCAGTCAATACAATTGGCTTTCTCCACTCCACCCATGCCAAACAGCCTCACAGTCTCCTCTGGCCCTTTCCTGGTGCCTGGAACCCACAAGGGTCATAGGTTAGCCATATGTCTTCTAATTCCCCTTTCCTAGGCCCTTTGTCTCTGAGCCCCCATGCCTGCCCCACCCCCACACCTTTCCTGTCATCTTACCCACGAAGAGAAAAGTGAGCATGTATCAGTAGCAGGTGCCTATCACTTTAAGTTGTTGCTTCTGAGGTGTTTTCACAGTGAGAGAGAAGAGAGAGGATATGGGAAAATCCATCCTAATGGCTCCCATTGGGTCACCAGGACTCCAGGACCCAGGAGACAGAGGGTGAAGGTTTGGGGACAGGACCTTCCAAGGAGCAGTTCACTTCTGAGGTGATCAGATGTTAAACCTGGAGACCCAGAACTTTCTTTGAACTTCCTTGGTCAAGGAGTTTGAGCAGGTTACTGGGAGGATCTTGGAGTTGGGAAAGAGAGACTATCAAAAAGGGACAGTGCTCTCCTCCCTGGTGACTGAGGCACTAAGGGAGCAAAGCAGCTGGCTAGCCTGCCCACTGGCCACAGTCTCAGGCAACTGTGGGGACCTGAGCCAGAGATCTCTAAGATACAGGCCAGGCAGGGCAAGAGGACCCTGACTCACAGGCAAGCGCTTGCAATGGAATCTGTTTGTAGGTTCCTGGGAGTGGTCCTCGCTATCAGAATCATTCAGGACAATGGGGCTCCGCCCCAAACACACAAAAAACCACTTCTTGTCTGTTCCTACCTTTAATCATCTCTCCAATCCCCTGAAGTCTCTCGGGAAGGCCAGAACACAGGGGACATGGAAACGCCTAGATCAGGACAAGGTGTTGATCAGCAGGGACCCCGTAGCACATCTTGTGTTCCTCAAACAGCTGTGTGAGACACTCTACATATAACTCGTGCAACTGGTCCACCTGTTCCTGGCTGGGCCTTGGGCTTCGCTGCACTGGAATCGGGGCACCCAGTGTGGAAGGAACATGAAGGGAGAAGACCGATTGTTGAGATATCCCATTAACCGGGGATCTGCCTGGACAGAGTTCGAGGCCAGCTTGGGGTATGAGTGCCAGGCGTGTGAACCAGAGAGCTGGGATGTTGGACTTTACGGGAACAGTTCTCCCAGCTGGGAGATGATGGGAGAGAGACACATAACTCACCGACAGTGTGGATGGGCACACGGAAGGGTATCAGGAGATCCAGGCGACCATGGAAGAGAGCCAGGGCCACACTCAGTAGTGTCTGAAGTGCCTCTTGCACCCTCCGTACCCAGAAGCCTGGGGGGTTGGGAAACTGCTGGAAGAGGTCATTCTCTCCAAAGGAGAAGACAGGCACAAGAGAGGCCCTGGAGGAGCAGGAGCAGACACTTCAGGCTGACAGGGGCCTGAAGATAAACGGGTTCCACATTCCTCTCGTGCAGGGCAGCTCAGGTGGATATGCCCCTGCCGCCGCCGCCACCACCACCCGCCCACTCCTCACCCATGTTCCAGTGATAATTTAATGAATCCTTTCTGATTCCAGAGCTGTAAACTCACTGTTCCAGGTTTTGCCTCCAAAACCTCCAGGGGACCTCCCACAGCCAGGATGATCACCCGGCCACCCTCAGCGTGGGGCAAGAGATAAGAAGCGCTAGCCTTGTCAGAGGAGACTAAACTGAGGTGGGAAGGACAAAGGCGAGGGTGCGTGGACACCACCAAGACAGAGGTAAACACAGGAGCTCCCCAACCCCACCCCAGGAGAAGAGGTGACATCAGTGCCCCAGATCTTGAGAAGGGGCTTCCTGGTCATAATGTAACCTTGGAAGAGAGGCATTTGGAACCAACACGGCAGCATGAGTACGTGTGGCTTGAGACCTGGAAAGAGTCGGGAGAAGCCTGTGGCCTCTGTACAGAAGTTGCCAAAGGCCCCAACAACCAGGACCCTGTGAGGATGAAATCCAAAAAGGTAGTTTTGAGATGGATCCAACTCGGCCGCTTTAACCAGCTAGAGAGCAGAGTGAGAAACGGCCTTGGAGGTAGGAGAGGGATGGCCACACTTTGAAGCCCCACCCATCCATCAACCCAGCGTACCTTCTGGGGCCCTCACCGTGATGGAAAAAGTAGTCTCGGAAATACCTCCAGACTGTCCAGTTGCAGACCCAGGCAGACCGGCGGGCCCCCCCCCCCCCCATCCTCGGTGTGTATCTGTCTCCGTAGAGCCAAAGTACGTAGAGGACCACAAGGGTTCAAGCCCGGCCTAGGGAGGCTAGAATCAATGTCGCCAGGCACAGCAGGGCTGGAAGACAAAATGGACAGGGCGCTAAGACCCAGGTATTCAGGGATGGCAGAATAGCTCAGCAGGTAAAGGTGCATGCTGCCAAGCCTGAGGACCTGAGTTCTATCCCCCAGTCCCATATAGTGAAAGGAGAGCCCAGGCGGCTCTGTTCTGCACACATTTGCTGCAATGTGAACATGCCCAACAAATAAATACATGCAATACAAATTTTTTTTAAAAGAACCCGAATGTGTAACCCTTCTGCCCCCCAACACCCCCCCCAAGCCCTATGGGATTTAAGCCCTAGACTCCATTTAGGACCCCAGAAATTCCTATTCTACCTCATTAGGATCATGGGGAGCAGAGCACCAACAGCCAGGTCTGTCAGGGTCCAGGGGTTTGGGGACTCACCAAGTCCCAAGAAGGAAAAGACCCACTGAAGCAGGGCAAGCACTTGAAGACCCAGGTGCAGGGGGCCGGAGGGGGCCTCCATGCTTTACAGGGAAGCTGCACAGTGGCAACCCACAGCCTAAGTACACACACCCCTTAACTCAACCCTCTGACTTTGACCCCTGAGCCTAGGCCCACCCCCACCTCTGCCCCCCCCACACACACACACGTTGAGCCACATGGACAGTGAGCTGTGAGCCGGAGAAAGGCAAAGCTATCCCTCCCTGAGCTTGCAGGAGCCCAACCAATACTACAAAGTGGGAAGGACCTGGGATGTAGCCAGGAGCCTAGGGCGAAGTTTCTGAATTCCATAGGTAGAGAGATCTGAGATGTACTGTGATGGCCCCATGGCCTTTACAAGAACAAGCCTGAAAACCCCATAGTCACTGTCTGGGTCTAGTTAAGGTCAAATTCCCCAGGCTGTAAGCATCAAGAGAAAATTGTGGCATCTCGGGTAGATTCTAGTGCCCAGCTGTTGGAACATACTATACTCTGTCTTCAGGCACAACGAACAATCTTACAATCCTGAAATCAGAGCAGCTGGGATGGTACACATTGGACCTACACACAATGTGGCTAAATAGAAAGTGGGGTGAGCCGGGCAGTGGTGGCACACGCCTTTAATCCCAGCACTTGGGAGGCAGAGGCAGGCGGATTTCTGAGTTCGAGGCCAGCCTGGTCTACAGAGTGAGTTCCAGGACAGCCCGGGCTATAAGAGAAACCCTGTCTCGAAGAAAGAAAGAAAGAAAGAAAGAAAGAAAGAAAGAAAGAAAGAAAG